TCTCTTTTGAGACACTTTAAGTTCTTCTCTTCAATTTCTCATGCCTGCAATCAGCTCTGTCTGTTGGATTCCAGGTATTGCTGCCTTTGAAATGGCATATGGACAATGGGTGGAACAACAAAATAAGAAAAACGCTGATTTGAGAGATGCTTTATATTCTGACATTCGAGATGTGGAATTGAGCAGTTTTGTTGAGGATGGCATGAAACACTATTTTGATCTCTTTGCTATGAAAGAAACAGCCGCAAGGGCTGATGTATTCTATCTTATGTCTGGCATGTGGAGAACATCAGCAGAACATTTTTTATCGTGGATTGGGGGCTTTCGGCCATCAGAGCTTTTAAAGGTAATTCATACTTCCCTTCGGAGTCCGGATTGTGATGCACTTCTTACCTTTATTTTTTCTGATTAAAATAAAGGCCAACATATTCTTGGAATCTGAATAGTTACTTAAGATAGAATTATGTGATTTGAAGGGAGTTGTCCAGATCCAAAATTTAATAGCTAGTCACATTGGACCATTTCTTGTTTGTTTTCTATCTGATCATAATTAGATGCTAATATCAAGATCTGTTTGAGTTGCTGTCCGGGATTTCAACATGGATAAACAAATTTATGATCTAATCTTCAGCAAACCAGTTCCTCATCTGGATCATTGTCCTCTCCCAATCTAGTCATTTTACAGTAAACATTTGAGCAATTTACTGTTGCATCTCCACCTTCGTTATTTCTTTTCTCTTCTTCCTTGTCATTAAAATCAACCTTTTCTTCTCTATATAAATTGTCCTCAACTAATGATGGCGTGTATATGCAAAAACCATAACGATGTACCAATGATATCCATACTTTCTACAGTCGGATAAACATAAAAAGATAAATTTGTTTATGCTCATTTTACGGGACTTGTGAATAATTTAATCAAATTGTTCACCAAATGTTAAATCAATGATTCCATGTAACATTATCTTATAAACAGGTTCTCATGCCACATCTTGAGCCTTTAGCAGAGCAACAACGTTTGGAGCTTTCTAACCTTAGACAATCATGTCAGCAAGCAGAAGATGCCTTGTCACAGGGATTGGAGAAACTCCACCAATTTCTGTCCGATACTGTAGCAGCAGGTCAACTGGGTGAAGGACCCTACCTACCGCAGATCAGAGCCGCAATGGATAAATTGGATGATATGGTGAGGTTTGTGGGTCAGGTAATATACGTTGTTGCGACTTGATTTTCTGATTTATGTGTTATTTAGTGTGCTGTCTTTTATATTCTTGACAGGAGCAACCATTATATCATGACATTCTGTTTCATATAGTAATTGTAGGGAAAAAAAAA